TTTATGGAGTTCAGTATCGAAACCCAATCATTAATATCAATAATGGTGATTCCAGAATAATCAGTATTGAAACCAATACTTGGTATCCAAGTTTGGTGCTCGATATCGAAATCGAACCCCTGATATTGTACATATTTAATCTTTAATTCATATTTTTGGAAGGAAAATTTATTAATAGATAAATAGATATTAAAAATTAATGTTTTTAATGATCCTCATAACTTTTAGTATTTACATTTTAATCATTAAACTTTTGAAAGATTAATAATTAGTCTAATCATTGTTTAGGGTTAATAATGGATTACAAATAATTTTTATGTAAGAATATTAGCTTTTATATGAGTCCAATGTATGTCTTGTTAGTGTAAGTTCACATTTTTGGTTAGTTTAGATTAAGCCTCTAAGTTTATGAAGTTTCAATTTCACCCTTAAACAAGATAGTTCTATGAAATGAATAAATCTGATAGTAATGATCATAATATGTGTTGACGAAAACGGGTAAAGAAAACAAAAGAACACGAGAATTTTACGAGGTTCGGCAATGTGCTTACGTCCTCGGTGCCTAGGCGGCGCTAGAAGTTTTTATTCAATGATATTTTAGGTCTAGGTTACATCTCTATTTATAATAGAAAACCCTGGTACATAATTACAAAATTAACCCTGTACCGTACCCGCACCCCCAACCCACATAATTCGTAACCCCACAACGAGACTTTCTTTGTAAGGACAGTTGATGTTCGCTTCGCTCACTCCGCTCCATCTCCTGTCCTCTTTACTGGTATATTTATGAGCCATACCTAACAATATGGTTATGTATTGATTGTGAGACAATGTTTGTTTAAGTAAACGATTCTCATAATTCCAATATTTATATATATGTCCTTGTATTTTCATGAGTTTGAAAATAGTCCCGAATGAATTCAAGTTACAATGTGTTAATGATTGGAATGATAAAACCGATGATGTGATTTGAATTGTGATTATTTGATTATATTTTGATTATTGTAAGTTGATATTATGTTTGCTCGATGATTATTATTTTGGTTTAAACTCAGTTAACATCCTCGAACAATGAGACATATTAACATATGGAGATTTATTTCCATATAGATCGGGTTGAGGATGTTCCATACACTCTCGTCCGACCTCTGCTGGAGATATTACATAGAACAACGAGAACATAACATAAGGAGATTTTGTTCCTTCCGGTGGTGATCTCACCACATGATTAATATATTTGTGTCTAGCGTCGAGGACTTTGCATGGATAAACCTCTGCACTATGACACGATAAAGATAATTCCGCTCTATCATAGCGTCGAGATCTCTGCTTACATTTATATCAGAGTATAAAAAACCTCTGATTACATCTCTACCTTAAGCATTGAGATTATTTACCTTAAAATTTTCGTAGTAAAATCATTTTTTAGTGTGAATAACTTTTGCTATTAACATGTAGCAAATAAAATTTCACTATGAACTCTTTAAAACATCAAGGATAGGTTTGCATTAAGCGTTGAACCCTCTAATATCAATAAAACATTGAAAAATCTTCTTATAATAATTCATGAAGCATCAAAGATCTCCTAGAAAATAATGAAAATACCTTCGTATGACATAGTTTAGAGTATCGAAAATATCTTCGTACCTTTACTAAGCATTGAGATAATAATAATCTTTTAACTGTATCGTTTAAGCTTTGATAATCCTCCTTTAGTTTTGTTTGGGAGCATAGAGATAACTCTTCCCGGATCTAAAATTTTAATACGAGTCTACAAGGACTATGATCCTCTACTTTTGAAGGCGTTGAGATTCTCCTACCCTTTTATTGGCATAAAAACGCATCCACTCATTATCTGGACTTCTCCCGAATATGGAGCATTGCCTCTTCTCTGGTCAAGAGAGTCCAGATATCTCTGCTTTGACAATAGTAAATTGTTCGTTGCCATTTTATGGTGTTGAGATGCAGATGTATCATTTACCGTCCCACTAATTGGTATTATCCTCCGCTTGAGTGTCAACATCGATATGTTTTACCAATGCAAAGCTGATTTTTCTTATCAATTAGGCTTTTCTAAAAGTAAAATGAGCTACCTATATAATGAGAATGAGAGCATTAAGATTACTTATCTATTTAACAAAATCAAGATACAATCATTATATTTTCCACCATAAGTCTTTTATCAAGTCATTTTATGGCATTTCCTCAATCAAGGGGATAACTTTTATACTCCAGAGATACCATCTAGAAATATTATCTTTGTCAATGATTTATCTAGAGTCTCATACTCATCGAATGACTAAAATTCCACGACTAGACTTTTGATTGTTCAACGTGATTTATAGAGTCAAACCTACTCCAATAGTTGTAATCATCTTATTTAAATCAGTCTACAAGTAGCCTTCATTAACTTAGGTCTGACAAATGTTGCCCTATAACTGGAGTATTTATACCATGATGAAAGACTGAAAGAGGAGGGCCTCTCCACTTTCTTCTCTTTCTTCATTGTCACCTTCTCTTATGTCTTTAACTCTCTCACAAAGAACTCTCACAAAGAAACACCGACCAACAACATTATCTCATTAGTCGTGATTCTCTGTCCAAACTAGAAAGGATGAACCATCAACAGCCAATAAGACAAATTTATTCCATTGAACAATATTTAAAGGATAAGAAAAACAAAGAAAGAAAAAAGAAAATTCTATTTGCCTAAACTTATTATTTCAATTATCTTGAAAATAAAAAAAAATGTTGATTTTTGATATTTTTAAAAAACTATTAATTAGAATTATATCCAATTATATTTTTATAAAATAATGTTATTCAAAAGCAATACTAAAAAATAAATAAAAATAATTCATTTATAAGAACAATAAAAATCAAGTTTGTCTTATTAATGCTTTAATATAAAAATGTGTTCAAACTATACTGCTTTTTCTAAAGTGGTGTCTAAATTTTTTTTCTTGTCAATCTAGGTGTCTAACGCTACAATTGTTACCACTTTAGATGCCTTGATCGTAATGGTCATTAAAAAAGTCTATTAAGTGACATGTGTCATGTTCAAATAATTTTAAAATTTTAATTAAAAAAACTAAAAAATCATCAATCATCATCGTCGTCGCGAACAGTGGCAGAACTTGGTGATAGAATTTGGGAGGTCAGCTTAATTTTTTTTTATAAAAAAATAGATGTTTTAATTAAAATTTTCAAAATTTTTGAAGGGTTCACTTTACATTTTTTTTAAAATGGAGTATAATTATAATTTTTGAAATTTTGAGATAATGAAAATTTTTAAAAATTATGGAAGGGATTTAATTAAGAATATTAAAAAAATTAAAAATAATATAGGTTTCTAAAAATTGTGGACCAAATTAAATATTTTAAAAATTTAAATATCTAAACTTTAAATTTTCAAATTTTGAGGGGCCATAGCCCCACTAGTCTCCATTACCTTCTGCCATTGGTCGCGAACCGTCTACCCATTCGTCGACAAGTCCTTACTGACGGTCATTCCTCTATCATTGTCCCAATTTATTAAAACCCTAAATCTCTAAATATATAAACCCTAACTTTTAAATATCTAAATTATTATATTATATCCAATTCTTGGTGAACGATGGGAGATTTTAAACTTTTTAACGCGAGGGTTTTTGAGGGGGATTTCAGGTTTTTATTGCAATGACGGGGAGGGGTTGCTGAACCATGGGTAGGGGGATTTACTTAACGATCGATTGGGGCAATGGTAAAGATTGGTTGACAATGGTGGTCTGACAGTAAGTAAGTGAGTAGGTGTCCGGGGGTGGTGATGGCTGTGGAAGGGATTATGGTGGGCCGATATAGGATTGACATTAGGGTTTTCGAAGCTTTCAAAGTTTTTTTAAAATTACTGAAAATTTTTATTTTTTAAGAAAAAGTTTAAGTTTTTTTTTTTTTTAATTTTAAATAAAATATTCAAAATTATATAAACGCATTACGTGTCACTTAACATAATATTTTAATATCCTTCATGATAGAGATATTTAAAGTGATAACGTTTGTAACGTTAATCATCTAATTGATTGAAAGAAGTTTAGGCACCATTTAAAAAAATATATATATAATTTAGACACTTTTTTCTCTATTAAACATTTTAATAATGAAACTGAATTAATTAGAACATGTTTTAATTTCTAAATTTTTACAATGCCACGTGTTTCGTTTCTCGTGGGTTCAATTGCCTAATATATGCAGTGGTTTTCCTGATTCTTCGCAAAGAGTTTCAGCTTAAAAAACTTTGAATCCCATCCCATCTTCGATGCATATCCAATTCTTCCCCAAAGGCCTACATATATATAAAAAGCGTACCTAAATTTGTATTGTAAATCAGTATTGGAAGAGTATATCTCAATTGTTATTCACATCATAAAGAAAGATCAAATGTCAAGCCAAATCCTGGCTTTTGCTTTGGCCTTAATTCCCATTTTTGGGCCAAGGCCGTTGCCAGCCCCACTGTTGTCGCCGCCACACCAGGTCCAATTGAAGACATCATTAAAGCTGCTGCAGGTGCACCCCCTACTGAAAGCTCCATTGGCAGTCCTACAGGTGGGGGTGCGGCTGCTGGTGCAACGAGTGGTCAGCCTCCTTACAGTAATAGTGCATCCACCATTACGGGATCATCGGCTTTCGCAGGAGTTGCTGCCATTACAGGCTACTTTGTCTTCTAGGTTTGAGATTTGCAGGGACAAGGCTTGTTAATTGACTTTTAATTTGTCCTTGTCATATGAAATATTCATTGTAGTTTAAAATGTTCTAAAACTTGAATTTTAAAATCATAATGTTAATCATGGTTTTACGTGTAGTATTTAATTTCTGCAATTAAAATGTCACAACCCATTACAAGCAACCCATATTTGTACATTACCAAATTTTCATCAGTATTACACAATATCAAAATACCAATTCCTAAATGTCATATAAAGAAAACCGGGTTTCTAACTGTTTACTAACAGACAATGCACTGGTGGAAGAAAGGCAGATGCTCCCTACAAAACAAAACCATCCATCCGAGATTTTATTTTATTTTTCCATGTCGCATCCTATGTAAGATGAAAACTTCATCTGCCATACAGCTCAAACATTTTTTATCCATCTATTCTATACTCTCCATCCGATCCATAAGTGTGGGCAGGACTTGCTGGTAACAAATTTTAATGGCATTCCATAGGGCTGCCTTCAGGACCCTCGACTCCTAATTAAAGAATTAATGTAATAACTTTCCTTTTCCGACCACTGCTATCGAGACTGGCTAGTCGCTATCTAACATGTTACTTCTACTCATCTCATACAACCAATACAGATGAGCACCAAGCAAATCAGGAATAAAAGAAATACAATGATGAACAAGCTACTCACCACCTTGAGCATCATAGGAGAATTCTTCATTGATCACCTGAAAAGATAAATTTGCCTCAATACATCCCCTTAAATACGGGATTTGTGCGACAAATGCTTGCTCCATATTCCTCGTATTCTGTTTTTTGTATGAGATGCCTGCATATAGAGGTCAGGAGATTTTCAACCAAAATCCAAACGTTAGCTTATAAATTAAGATTGCACAAGGCAACAGTAACTGGAAAGCGCATTGCAAGAGCATTGGCCAACTACAAACTTGATACCATTCAGCAGCCTGTATAGAAACATGAGTAGAATATCAGTTTAGAAATGCATAACACGAAAAAATTCAGGTGTTGATGCAAGTACAGAACCTCCAAACCACACTGCAAATCTTTGGATAGGATGACTGACTACATTAACTTCCACAGGTTGTACCTAGAAGGTGAAGCCCCAAAAGGAGATAGCACTGAGCTCTTCTTAAATGTAGATTGGATGACAATGTAAGTTAAACCCCAAAAGTCCTTACTTTTACTTCCCTGCCATGCCGAGCATAAGAAGCAAGTACTCGGGCATCCACAATCTTTTTCAGATCCCGCTGCAGCCTTCTGTGGAAGTCTTTGAACATGGTTGATCCACCAGATAATACTATATTCTGAAAGAGTTAAATAGTGAGAAAAGAAGTTTAAATCTTATATTAAAATATAAGAAAAAATGTGGAGATTTCCTTTTCTCTTCTGAATTCATTCATAGTATATGAACTTAACTGCAAGATTCATTTGCCTTTTGGTCACTATCAAGAAAGCAACCAGCAATTGGTACAACCAACCAATGTCTTTCAACTAGGCTAAGAATTTTTTTGCAGTAAAAATACTAATAAACTATCTACACTTTCGATATATATAGATTAATATCAAACCAAATTTGAGAAATGAATTTATAATCGACTCATGAGTACAGAAGAGACATTGATGTAAGAGATTAAACTAAAATAACACAAATTTTCAAGAACTCTATCCACGAAAAACTTCTGAAAATTGAGCTAGGTATATCGTTTTAATCCTTATTCAGTGCATCTAAACCGTCAAATAAAATACTTTCTTGTACATTTAGATTTATCGTGTTTAAGAATGAAAATTTTGCAATCTGCGTGTGTATTATTTACTCTTTTTCTTTTGAGACTATGAATACTTCACCTTATACAAAGCTCTTCTTGTGTCAATTGGTGCTGACCGAATGCACTTATCTATTACAACTGGTAAAGGAGTTGTAAAATCGCTGTTGCCATAGATCTCGGGACTAAACAAAACCTGTCAAACCAACCATTTAGTAAACATCACTTGCAAGCAATATTTGAGAAGCAATTGATAAGCAGCGGCAGGCTTTCTTTCCTTGAAAAACAAGGTCTATCATCACATAATTAGTTGCATCCCAAAGTACAAAAAATGACAAAGCATGCCCCTTAAGACATGTAAATAGCACAAGGAAATCGAGATTTTTTCCCATTTATAAATGTATATCCTAGGAGGCTAGCTGCCAACCCCTAAATCTAATATTATGAGACTTTAATATAAAGGAATACTCCCACTAATCTTAAACTCTAGGAATGAGTTTACAAGGGAAAAAAGGACAAACCTCAGGGCCCAAAAATCGTTCATAACCAATATTACAGGAGTATGGCGTCCCTGTCTTTGGTCTAATACCTCTCCACTGTTTGATGTACTTTGAAGGTTCTTTATCATGCTTGTTGAACTCCTGCGATAAATATAAAAAATAGTTATTATCAAATTTTCATAAGAATGCAGAACTTGTGAACATTATTATAGTCATGCTGGGTAAGAACCCAACAGCAAACAAGTGCGCCAAAATATTTCCAAAAGCAAAATCCAGCAGAAGAAAAAAAGAAGAAGAGAAAAACCATGACAATATCAGAACAAGTATAGCAATATCTCTCCTTAACTTTCCGAGCAACTTCAAATGAGTCCTCCGGCGGAACTTTCTCTCCTCTTTCCTGCAAATAACAGAGTGAAAGGGAAAGAATTCATTATCACTAGACACATTATTTTACAATCTCCAAATCCATAAATCTAAGAGACACAGACAATAACAAAAAATAGAATTCAATGTTTAAGCCCAGTTTTTATGAGCCTTTACAAACAAAGCCATCATGGCAAACATATACCGCGAAGAAACAAAAAGACACTTTAATTCAGCTTGCCTCCAGAGAGCAGCTCCTGTTCTCAAATTCAACTAGCATTTCTTCAAAAGGAAACAAATTCAAAACAATAAACTGAACATATGTAAAATAAAGTCATGTTAGCTCAAAGACGCTACCACAGCCAAAAATAAATTTGGAAGGATACAAAAATCTGTCACAAACTGGAACCGAATATTTGAAAGTACAGCATATAAAAAGGTAAGTGCATAAACAAATAAATGCGAATGTTGTCAAGGCTACGTACTAGAACGGTAGAACCTTTATACTGCTTCATGTGCAAGGCACGCTGGGCATGTGCATGATCATATATGACTCGCCTGAAAGGGTCTAAGGTGCTTTAGTTACCTTTCAAAAAAAGAAAAAAGGTGCTTTAGTTGCCTGGCACTAAGGCGTAGGGACACCTAGGTTCACAGCTTGAGAGCCCCAATAAATCCAACCATAGATATGGCTGAGTAATGCCAAGGAGAGTCTTTTTCTCTTTATGACAGGACAATAACATTAAGTACTATCCAATTGAATAAACAGCAATCCAATGGTATCAAAGCACAAGTCATGAAAGAAAGAGAAAAAAAAAATTACCCGCATGAGCTGCTGTATGAAGAGAGTAACATCTTTTCCTGCTATTGGTATTGACTTAATGCTGCTCCCAATAACATAACCATCTGCAACAGGTACGATACGTGTAGCCCCATCTCCAACATCCACTACCACCCCTGTCATCTCACACTATAGAAAAATGTACGTTAAACTAAATGAAAATGATGATTAGCAAGAAAAACAAAACACAAAATGTAAGGTATGAAGCTAAATAGAAGATAGAGTAGTTCTTTAAACTTTACAAGCATAAAGTATTAAACCTAACTCACAGCTTATGCCCATAAGATTCGCAACAGCTATAGGACTGCAGCATAATTCTCTCTAGTAATTAAAGACAAATAAACAAATTTAAACATATTGAAACGGTACAATGTAGGCTCCATAAGAATTAAGCTATTAACATGTAAATGTAGAAACATTTGAGGGAGTTGGCAAAGACTTTTATCTCATAAAACCTCCAACCTTAATGTATTTTAAATGTAAAAACTGGAAATTTATATAAATGTAAGCATTTTCTACAAACATAACATGGCAAGTTATTATAAATTACTCCAACAAGAATATTCATAACATGTTCTAAGATAGCTACAATTAATCACCATGCTATAGAGAATTTAAGACATTAGATTAAGCTAAAAGCAATACAACAATTCTTCACTGCCTACATGGGTTTAAATCAATTGCTAGTTGACTGAAGAATACGTAACCATCCTAGAACCAACGTTCACACTCATGATTCAATGTCAAACGGTGCAGTTTATAAATAAAACAAATACTAAAAGTCATGGACAGTCAAGGACACTAATCTATTCATCTAACATACTATTAGAGAACTAAAGAATATATATAATACCCGAAAACAGAATACCAAGGAAAAGTAGATGACGGACCTTAGATGTAGTGTAGCCAGCAGCTAAAGCAAGGACAGAATTCACAGCAATATAAAGCCCTGGAACATTATACGTCTCAAGCATAATTTCACCCATATATTCTCGATTCTCAGGAGCAGTAAGTGGACTCTCAGTCAACAAAAAGTAATGGTCTTCAGGATCACACCGTAAATAATTGAAAATACATTGTTGCCAATACCGTTCCATCGCATCCCAATTATCCACTTGACCATGCCGAATGGGATGGGTAAGGCTATAAGTATTACTTGATCGGGATTTCGCAAGTGCTTCATCTCCAATGAAGAAATCAAGATCTGCCATTACCCCAGCCGAATGCTGAGCCGACCAATTCGATTTTGAAGTTCTAGATTGATTTAGAAAAGACTCGTTAATTGCTACTACTGTTGGTTGAATAAAACACGGCTCTACATTACCCGCAAATCCCATCTTAGTATATCTGCAAATAAACAGATAAATAAGAAAACAAGAGAGGAAGAAGAATTTCATCAAACACGCAGAGATCACGCAGTTTGGAGCATTATCCAGTAACTAAAAGGAGAAGTTAATCAATACCCGGTGCCATTATCGATGACGACAGCGGGGCGAGAAGTGGGATCCATTGGGAAGAGAAACGGAAGCTAGGAAGTTGGTTTTGGCGGCGGTGGTGGATCTGCGAGTAAGATCCGAGATAGAATCGGGGGCAAGGGATCATGGTCGTGAAGGGCGCTTGAAGAAGAGCAAATAAGGAGGAGAGAACTCCGCCGTCGCCGGGCCCGATGATATTGACCCGATAACAACAACCAACTGAAAGCAGGGACGTTTCAACGGAATTAGGTTGTCAAAACTCCGTTCCATAAAAGAAGAGTAATCATTTTATCATCAAATTGCCTCTTTTTGTTCTCTGTGTTGATCTAGCAACCGAATCAGGAAAAAAAAAAGACAAGGCAACAACTTTCCTTTTCTTTCTTTTCAAGTCTTTTTGGCTTGGTAGCAAGTATCAACCTGGACCACAAGTGGTAATTTTTTTGGTTTCAGTTACTTTTAATTCAGTCAATTTGGAAGATTGGTATCACGCAGTCGGTTAAGTTCTATAGTGTGATATTCTTAATATATAATTAAAAAAATATATTATTGATTTTATTATTATTTAAATAATAAAATTAATAAAAAAATATTTAAAATATTATTATTTTTATCTAAAATATTAATATTTTTTAATATTTTTGGTAAATTGTCCAACAATAATAAAATCGATAGAAAAAATAACAAAATCGATAGCGCTTTACATGTTTTGTGAACAAGACCGGTAAAACGTTCAATAATAACAAAACTGATAGGAATAATAATATTTCCGATAATTTTTTACTGGTTTTATTATTTAAATATTAATAAAACCGACAACGTCTTCTTTTAGCCGTACATTAAGACTGTCGCACGTGATCATTTCCCACGCGGTCGGAGCCGACTCAAATTTAAAAGTATTCTCAATGCTTTTTTAAAGAATTTATAAATGAATTATATTGTTATTTCATTCTGGTAGAAATATATATTTTATATGTAGAAATTGAATATTGTCATATATATTAGTAGTAGAAATGATATCTATTTTATAGGTAGAAATTGAATATTGTCATACATATAATTAGTAGAAATTGAATTTTTTCATATATTATTATATAGTTATTTTATTTAAAATTTATATAAATTTATAAAAGATAAAAAAATTATTATAATAATATTTATTATTAATTTAAAAATGATTCATAATACTAACTTTTGTTGATACATCCGAAAATTGTTACATTTTGCAGTCTACCTTCTTAGAAATTCTATTCCATTGACATCTGCTTGTAGGAAAGAAATAAGTTCATCATGAGAGTTTTCTAGGAAGTGCGTCCCTTGGTCTCTTTCGAGTGCCAACTTTACCATTCAATGATTTCCTTCCCTCCAGGTGTGTCTAATTTCAGTTATTCATCCTTCCTTTTTGATTTCTTCACAATCTTTAAAGATAACTTCCTTTTGCAGATCTTTTGTTCCTTCCTTATTTAGTGTTTCAATGACAATTTTTGCATCAACTTCGGCTATTAAGTTTCTCACCCCCCAACGATTTTGTCAGAAACATTCCTTGTCTAATTTCTCAGATTTTCGTCATAGCGCTAGTATTTTTTCCAATGTTTGTCATGTAGTTATGGATCCAGTTTTCGTTTTTGTCTCTAATCAGACCACCCGTCCAAATCAGTCCGGTGTTTGTCTTGTATGCTCCATCCGTGTTGAGGATCCATTGTTAAAATCAATTAATCTTGCATGCGGAAACAATTAACACATAAGGATCTTGATGAGGTAATTAAATCAACCAAATCAAACTCATGACATAATTATTAAGAATTACAATAAAAGAAATGAAAACTTACTTGATGATTCCATTATGCTAGTTGTATATCCAAAAGCAAGAAATAACAAATGTTATCCAATCCCAATATTGTATAATCCTCAATTCACCATGTGATAATATCAAGACTTGTTTGATTATTGAAGAATGAATCAGAACCCCAAAACAGAGAGTGTTCTTGTTTTCTTTTTAAGAGAGAAAAAGAGAGAACCTTAAAAAAATGTTTGTTATGTGAGTTTTTAAAAAACTGATTCAACTATGATATTAAATCACAAAATAACGGAAATGCCAAAATAACCGAAAAACCCTCTACTTTTCAGTTACACATAACACCACTTAAACTTATATTTTCACGGTATGGTACGGAGGGATTTACACCCAATAATTGTCTCCTCAATATTACACTAATCATCACTGTATGTACAACAACAACAATTATCAGCAATTATCAATCACTTAAATTATATGAATCAATATTAGAAATCAAAATTTCTAACATTCTCCCACTTGATTCATATATGACAAGTATATAACATATTAACATAATTTGAGCTCACTTAAATAATGTAATATACAAGTCACAACTTCGTAAGAACTAAACCGACCGAATCATGGCAGTCATGAGCCTGACAAACGTCCCAATTCTTTTCATGTACTATAGGTCAATCCAATTCAAATACACACAATTTAATAAGATAGACACCCGAAAATATCTTATCCGACAAAGTCTTAAAATAAGATCCAACATCTATAATAATAAAGAAATATGCATAACTGAAGTATGATTCATAGATAAGCAAAATCCAAACAAGAATCGATATCTAGACTATTAAACAAACATAAATGTGCAAGACCTATATTCATATATGTATGACTAATCATCCGCTACACAAGGACTTCGCGACTACTCCCATTTCACTAACATGGCTAATAAATGTCTTAAGAGCTAGTCATTTAGTCAACGGATCCGCAATCATATCATTGGTGCCAATTGCACTATTTGAACTCTGTGATTTTGCACATCTTCTTTGATAGATAGATAGATTCTTTAAATCCATATGTTTGGCACCCTTGGAGTATCTATCGTTCTTAGAGAAGAATACATATGTCATATTTTCACAATAAATCCTCATCGATTTAGCAATGGTACCAACGATGCCTAAACCATCAACAAAATTGCACATCCATTATGATTGAACTGTAGCTTCGAAGCATGCTACAAATTCAACCTCCATAGTGGAAGTAGCAATGACATAGTTCTTAGCACTCTTACATGAGACAACTCCATTTGTAACATCCCAAAATCGAGTATGTACTTTGGGTTCGTTTCGGGTCTATTTCTGGATTTTCGATATAAAAAAGAAAAAAAAAAGAGAAAAACATATTAAAATTTGTATTTTGTTTAATAAAAGTTTTGGAAAGGTTTTAATTGGTTTTATATATTTGATTTTGATTTTAATTTTGGAAGTTAAATTAATTGGTTTGGTGACTAGATTAAAAGAATTGAAAATTTGTAATTTTAGTGACCATTTTGTATATTATCACAATGTCCAAAGTCTATGAAGCAATTTTACCAAGGCTTACGTTTAGATTTTTCCCTCATAGACTTAAAGTATTTTAACTTCTCCTTTTTACCACAATTCCATCTAGATTCATTTTAATCCAAATTACATTTTCTTAATTATTTGTTTTCATTCCCGTGTTCTTCATTTTCTTTCATTTTCACAATTTGGAAACTTCTCTTAACTTCCTCAATTTTCTCTCAACCTAGCTGATCAATTCCTTTTCTTTTCTCTTCTTGATTTCTAAATTCACTCTCCTTAATCTTGTTTTCAATTTTCAAAGATTCTATTTTCTCTCTTCATTGTTTTAAGGTTTGATCACAATGGAGTTCCATTGTTGATCTCATTTTCAATCCATTTTCAACAAGGTAAAGATCTTCTCCTTGGTTTTCTTTCATGCTTTGAGGGCAAGTGATTTTGTGTTAATGATTTTGTGGAATTATTGATTTAATTGAAAAGATTTCAATTGATTTTCGAAGTTAATTAATGTGTTGATTTTGATATTTTCCTAATCAAATTTTTGGAGTGATTATAATCATATTAAAACAATTTTCAATTGCTATTGATTTGGATATTAATTTCTTGAAAACAAATGGAATTTTGGTGTTTTTGGGAATCCGAGAATTTAGGTTTGTGAAGGTTGATTTGTGCGGTTTTAATTAGATTAGATGTTGATTTTAGTTGTTGATTATCAACTCTTTTAAAGGAGAAGTGATGTAAATCATATAGAAGGTGTCGGAGAGTCGTTTCGATATGATTTTCGATAATTTTAACGTTTTTGCTCTATTTTAGAAATAGAGAATTCTTCAATATTTTAGAATAAATTGTAATGTGTTATTTTTCTTTTCAAGGTCCTTGTTGTGTTAGATGTTGGGGAGATTTTGTGCTTGGTGTTTGGTGAGTGTTTCATTAGCGTTTGAGAGCATTTTCAGTTTTCGGACAACAAGGTGAGTGGCTCTCATTCTTAAAATATTATGATTCAAGATTGATGTTTGTCTAGTTGATGCATTTGATTAATTCTGATATGTTTATGTGATTTGGATAATGATGTTGATGATGATCTGAGTTATGTTGATTTGTATGTGATGACACATATATCAGAAATGTGAATATGAAATAGGAGTTATGTCAAATTGTATACGATACCTCATATATCGGAATTGGGGAATGTGAATGTGTTGTGTTCTATTGCAAATGATGCATAGGATTTTTAAAGTGATTTTCGAAAATCTATTCATGATCACCAATTCTGATATGTGTTTAAAGAGAAAGTGTATAATGCGAATATGTGATTAGATGAGCTGAACTTTCTCACTGTCCATATATATGGGCGATCATGAAAACTATCCATACGTGTGTTTCAAAATGTATTTGAACCAATATGTGAAAACTATGAATCATTGACAACCACTCTTGGTGAATCATATTAATTGGCTATTTGTTCTTAATATGCCCTTTTGATATGAAAGACATACCTAAGAAAGAGTACTCTTTGTGTTTTGTATAAGTGTGTGTGATTCGGGATTATACGAGGTTTGGTTGGTACATTGAGTTTTACTCTTAGAAGATACACAGTTTGGTTGGGCGTAGAGCTTTGCTATGTAATTCATGGTTTTGGACCTTTGTGAGTTCGTAAACAAAATAAGAGTTGTATGGAGTCTGTTTATCCAATGATTGAGTTGTGTTTTGAACAAATGACATTAATCTTAAAATGAAAGTATGTTTGTTTTGTGTGCCTTGCAAAGGAAGGTAATTGTGCATGAGTGCTTGTGAATGTCATGACTTAAGTAATTAAGTAACATTGGTAAATTCTGGAAATTATGTGCATTTAGAATATGTAATTGATAATTTAAGCATGTCATGATGTTACTTGTGCGACAAGGTAAGGGCACATGAAACATGAGCATATAGGGCCATGATTCGTCTTGACTATGTGCATTGTCTTTGAATGATT